GGGGGCGCCGGGGGCGAGGCCCTCCCACGGGCTGCGGCGCGGCCCTTCCAGGGGGAGGTCCTCCTCTGGGGGGCTCAGTCCCTCAGCCCCCCCAGACCAACGGGGGCTCCGCGGGCGCAGGGTGCTCAGCTTCTGCCCGGGCCCCGCTCAGCCCCGGGTCTGAGCCCCAGCTCCCCTCCCCCACGCCGCCCCGCCTCTCCCGAGCCCCCGGCCCTTTAACTGGCCCCTTCCCGGGTCCCACCGCCCAGGGGTCCAGGGACAGGCCTGGGCCCCCCGCCGTTTCCGGGGTTCAGGCCCCGCCCACCGCCGGTTCCCGGGGAGGGGGGGGTCGCCGTAACCTGCCCCCCTCCCCTGGGCCCGCCCCTGGACTGCGGCCCCCCGCTCTACGGCGACCGGGCGAGCGGCGGGGGTGAAGGAAGCTGCTCGGCCCCGCCCCCCAGCCAGCGCGCGCCCCCGCCCTCTCCCCCTCCCCCAGCGCGCGACCCTCCGGAGAGAGGAATTTAAATAAAATTTGAATAAACCCCCTCCTCGAGCAGGAGCGTGGGAGGAAAGGGTAGAGCGGGGCAGGGGAGGGGGACGGGGCAGTTGGGGTGTCTCAGCCCCCCTGGCCCCACGGCCCCGCGCTGCTTCGGCCCGGGGCCCTGGCCGCCTCTCTCATCCCTCCTCAGCTCCTTCCTCCTTCCTCCTCTCTTTCCCTCCCCTCCCTCCTCCTTGCCTCCTCCTCCACTCCCTCCTTCTCCCAGAGGAGCCCCGCCCCCTGCCCCCGCCTCCCTCCACCACCTCCGCCTTCCAGGATGAGCGCGCGCGAGGCACGACGAGAGTTGTAGTTCTGCGAACGCTGGCGCTACTGCGGAAACAAGGGAGCCCCGGGCCGGCGGGCACTACAAACAAGATGGCGGAAGGCGCGCGGAACCGGGCGCAGAGCACGCCGGGAGTGTTAGTCCGGTTGGCCCGAGGCTCCCCGTTGCCGAGCATAGAAAAGGAGCGGGAACGAGGACTACAAACAAGATGGCGTTCTCCCCCGCCCCGGCCTCCTTCCCAGGCACTCACACGCCCTCCTATCCACAACCCTCCGCGTGTGTAGTACCTGACGGGAGTCGCAGTCCATCTGCTGCCTTCCCGCTGCCATTTCTACTCGTCAGGAACAATGGAAAGGTGAAAAGGAACGAGGACTACAAGCAAGATGGCGGAAGAGGGGCGTACACCTGACCAGCAGTCGATCGCATGGGTGCGATGGGAATAGTAGTTTTCTAGACTGCTACAGTTCCTTAAGCATGGCGGAACCGAGAGAATAAAGAGACTACCATAAAGATGGCAGGCCACCTAGCCTCTCCTGGTCGCCTCATTCAGCCACCTTGATTGAGTGCCTCGCCGCCCGCCTCTACTACCAAAATCCCGCACCCGGCGGCGCAAAGCCCGACGGGAGTTGCAGTCTTCCCGGCTGCCTTAGCTCCGCTCCGCTGAGACAATGGCCGGGGCCGGGGCGGGGCCTGCAGCCGAGATGGCGGCCGGAGGGAAAGGGGCGGCGAGTCGGGATTTGTAGTCCAGGCGCTAAGGCTATCCCCTGCGGCAACGGGGAACAGGACTACAGTAAAGATGGCAGCTGGGCCGCTTGACCTCTGCGCCAGGGCCTGCTGGGGGACGTAGTCCCCTCGTGAGCGCTACAGAGAAAGGACTTGGGCTGTAGAAATGTGCATCGCCGCGGACACGCCAAAGTGCGACCGCCGGAAACGGAAGTCTGCTCTTCTCACCACCCCCTCTGCAGGGAGATCTTGGGAAATGTAGTCCCAAGTTCCTACTCGCCGGTGAAGGAGGACTGGTGTCACCAGTGGTGGGGATCAGTGTGGGTGAGGGAGAAATGTCTGGGTGCCCGTGTGGTGAGGATTTCATATTTCAAGGGACGGCCTTTTTAAAGCGACAGTAATCACTACTGTCGCGACAAGGGAGGCGCAGTTTTCGCCAAAAAGTGCGCTCACGCTGTCGTCCCTGGGAAGGCTTGGGCATCTCATACCCGATGCTGGTTCCCCCAGACCTCTGGAAGTTCGTATCTTACGAGTCGTGAGGGGCCCAAGGAAGACTCGAGGGGTCACAGAAAAAAACCCCGCCCCGCCCTGGGAAGTCACCAAACCTCGGTTTTCTCACCTGAAAAATGGGGTTGATGATACCCACCTCGAAGCAGAGTTAGGAATGGGGGCCCTGTTCAGGAAAGTTCCCAGCTCGGGTGCGGGGTACGCGCCGGTGGTTCCTTTCTCAATGTCTCGTCCAGCCCAGCTACTCTGGGAGCCCGGGAATCCATCATGCCGGACAGGGCGAGCTTTTGCGAGAAGAAAACTGTGCCAGGCAAGCTAGCCCCATCTTGAGCGGCCCCCCGCCCCTCCTTATCTGGGTCATCCAGCCTCCACTACCGAACGCCGCTCCCAGGGGGCGCACCTTCTCCATTTACCGAGCTCCGCAACCTGGCCAAATGGTTCCACCTGAACTCGCAAGCGCTGCCTCACGCGAACTCCCAGCCTCGGCCGCCAACCCCAAGGGGTTGCTTCCCACCTCCGCGCTGTCTCACCTGCCTCCCCGATCTTCCCGCTCCGCCCGGAGAGCTGCGTGCTGCTGACCCCGCGCCAGCCCCCACCGCTTCCCTCTCCTGTGTTTGGGGGCCCTGCGGAATATTTGGTGGGTGTGGTTTGTCCGTCAGGAAGTTACCGCTGGCCAATGTAGTGTGAAGTCCCAAGTTGGCAGGGACTAGCCAGAAGCCAAACTGAAGCTCCCTGCGGCTCTCGCCAGCAGCAGTCAGGAAATCCTGGGCTTCTCGAGAATTGTCCTTCTCCTTGTTCTCAGGCCTTCAGCTGGCAGAATTACATCAGTGCTTTCTCAAGAGCTGTTTCCCGGGCCTGTTGTGCGCTACTCCACTTCCCATCCCACTAATCCAACCAGTTAACTGTTGCTCTCAGGTCCCTAAATGCTGTGGGCGTGGTGGCGCATGCCTGTAATTCCAGCGCTCCAGAGGCTGAGGCAGGAGGATCGCTGGGAGTTCCAGACCAGCCTGAACCGCATAGTGAAATCCTGTCTCAAAAAGACAAAAGACAGACAGACAGAGAGACAGAAAGAAAGAAAGAAAAACGAGACAAAAAGCTAAGCATGGTGGCACACGCCCGTAATCCCAGCACTCACAAGGCTGAGGCTCGCTGCGAGTTTGAGACCAGCTTGGGCTACAAAGTGAGCTCAAGTCCAACCTGAACTGCATAGTGAGACCCTGCCT